GAGACCCTAGGGGGAGAGACAGCCGCAGTATCCAGGTCAGCTCCTGAAGACCTTGGTGTCTATGAGATTCTTATGAACCCTTATAGTACCCCTTCCTTTCAATCTGGCTCAAATTGATTTCTTTTACTTGCAATTTTGAGAAAACAGAATACATGGTGAACTGGGCAGCTGATTCCATTATGCCTCAGTTTCCTCATCTGTTCGGTAAGAATCATCATGCATTCATTCACTCAGCAAATATGGATTGTTTTTTCTTTTTTTTTTTTTTTAGACAGGAGCCTTAAGCTGTCCCCCTGGGTAGAGTGCTATGGCATCACAGCTCACAGCAACCTCCAACTCCTGGGCTCAAGTGAGTCTCCTGCCCCAGCTTCCCGAGTAGCTGGGACCACAGGCGCCTGCCACAATGCCTGGCTCTTTTTTGGTTGCGGCCGTCATTGTTGTTTGGTGAGCCTGGGCTGGATTTAAACCCGCCACCTTGGGTGTACGTGGCTGGTGCCTTAGCCACTTGAGCCACAGGCACTGAGCCAATTGAGTGTTTTTTCCATGCGAGGTACTGTTTTAGGTGCTGGGAAACATATCAAAGGACAAAAGATGTTTTAAAAATTCCTGTATGAAACTTCTACTAAAACGGTCTCTGGAAATTAAGTAAATATATGAAATATATAACTTTAAAATCAGGTACTAACCAAGGAGCTGGTGGAACCAACAGGCACAGCACAAATCCCAAATCCTAGAAAACGTACTATGGGGCCAGGGTCACTTGAAACAGTATACGTTCCTTTGGCTTTAAAATAGGATTGTCTCAGAAGGCTTCCCTCTTCCTATAGTGTCCTGTCTTTTACATTTTTTCTTGCTGCTACTACTGGTAGGGCCCTTGGGTCCCACATTCCAGCAAACCTTCTTTTGCCCCAGGGAGATAAGGATCTCTCTCTCTCTTTTTTTTTTTGAGACAGAGTCCCATTATGTCACCCTAGGTAGAGTGCTGTGGTGCCACAGCTCACAGCAACCTCAAACTCTTGGGACCAAGCGATTCTCTTGCCTCACCCTCCCAAGTAACTGGGACCACAGGCGCCCGCCACAACACCCGGCTATCTCTTTCTCTCTCTTGATACTGCAGGTTCCCCCTGGCTTGGCTGTTTACAGCTTTCATTGTTTTCAGGTCTCACGGGAGGTGACAGATAATACACATATGGGACAAATTAAATTCATGGGTAATTTTTAAAAATCTCATTGAAACCACAGTTTCTCCCACCTAGTTATTTATCTTTTTTACTGTTGTTTTGTTTTTGTTGTAGCAGTTTTGGGCTGGGGCCTGCCACCTCTGGTATAGGGGGCTGCGCTCTACTCCTTGAGCCACAGGCGCCACCCTGCACCTAGTAATTTATCAAAGCTACTTTGTAAGCCTAAATTAACGGATCCGTTTCTGTCTTCTGCTGCTGCCTCTGGTGGAGATGCAAATGAGCAGAGTGAAGACCAAAAGGTGCTTAATCTACATGAAGAACACCAGAACTCTCCAACAACCCTGAAAATTAACTGTGCATGGGGCTCAGCCTTCCACATCACCGCACTTCTATTCCTCAGTGCTGGGCCGAAATCTTCTTATTTGGGGCCAATGTGTGCAAACTACCCATACTTATGTTAAACCAGGAATTAAGGCATCCTTTACTTACCTGTTTCAGTATAAACACAATGCAGAGATTGTTACATAATAAAGCACTAATACTGGTAATACTTAGCAATCGTGGCTTATATGGCCCCTCTCAGAGCCCAACATTTCTTCTAGAGATATGAAGCTTGTCATCACCAATCCAGACAGACAATTCATGCTCTGTAACATCTCAGCCAGAGGTGGTGTTGTTTTTCCATGCCTCCAGTGTTTCTCTACCTCCCCCTCAAAATTAACAAAAAACATTCAATTGTGCGTGCATGGGTGTGCATAAGCACATGCGTGTGCATGCACACACACACACTCTCTCTCTGAGGTTCTTCCAAAATACATGTGCCCAGTGTCCGTGGTGTCTGGTGATGTATCAGAGCCTGTTTTAAGAGGGAAATACTGTTTTTTTCCACTCTCTCAGGGTGGTGTGGCTCTCTGCCCAAGAAATAGCTTCTTTTGTGATAAGCTTCTGCAACTGTAAGATCTTGATCTCACAGAGCGATCTCAACCACAGGATGTCTTGCTAGCTCCTAAAACTCCAGGGGATAACAGAGCTTAAGTAAGATACTAATGATTAAAGGCAGGAAGTGGGGCAGATTTCAAAGGCAAAATAACCAATTTGGGGGTTTTAATGTAAGTAGCAAGTTTTATTTTTTATCTCAAAGACTGGAGAGTGGAAGAGGACTAAATGAGCTCTCCAAATTAGGACTTCAAATCCAAGTTCTAGAGAGACTTTGTGCCAGATGCTTTTATGAATGGGGTCCGCCCTGATAGCTGTGATACCTTCCTACTAGTTGCCCATCCTGTCTTTTCCATGGAAGCAGTCAGACATGCCTTTCTCCTAATTTTGTCTTGAAGATGAATAGCTAAGCAATTATTGCCTTATACTATGCCTAGGCCGAGGGAGGTGGCACAGTGCAAGTCAGTTCTGCTCTGCTCCAGGACGCTCTTTCCCTCTCATCAAAAAGCTTCCCTGAGATGCCTAGGACTGCTTGGTCCAGGCATTACACCCAATGCAATGATTTTTTGTCAGAGTATGTGATGATTATAGTAAGTTTCAGATATTAGGGAACTCCATCCAGGGCTGCCAAAAGACAGCACTGGGCTGGAAATTAAAACCAGGTTTCCTGTCCCCCTGTGGATCTGGGGCTATCTTCTTAAAGTCTCTGAGTCCAGGGAATCCTCTCAGATCCCAGGCCTCCACCCCAGATCAACTGAATTCAAAGTTCTGGTGTTGGAGACCTAGGACTCTGCATTTTTTTTTTTTTTTTTAGAGACAGAGTCTCACTTCAGGGCCCTCAGTAGAGTGCCATGGCATCACACAGCTCACAGCAACCCCCAACTCCTGGGCTTAGGTGATTCTCTTGCCTCAGCCTCCCGAGTAGCTGGGACTACAGGCGCTCGCCACAACGCCCGGCTGTTTTTGGTTGCAGTTTGGCTGGGGCCGGGTTTGAACCCGTTACCCTCGGTATATGGGGCCAGCACCGTACCCACTGAGCCACAGGTGCCACCCAGGACTCTGCATTTTGAGAAGCCCACTAAGGTTTGGGACTTGCTCAAGATTTGGAGGTCCTTGTCTGGAAACTTAGGAGCTTGAGCTCCGATTGCCACGTTCCCTTCCTGCTCCAACATTCTATGGTTCTGCGTGGAAGCTCATTTTTTTCCAGCGTGGTCTCCACATTGTCCAGCCATCTTCCCTCAGCATTGCTGGTCACTGCAGAGACAGCTGCCAATTCATCAAATTCATCAAACACATGACAATAATTATAAATTCATTCAAACCTATTTTGAAAATCAGTCAGTGGATGCAACACTCACATTGGTGTTTGAACATAGGACGTGCTCCCATGTCAGAAAGAAAACAATGATTTACTCCACCCACTGGCCATGACGCTGAAGGAAGACCTTGATACGATGGGGATTATCCACCTCCCTTTGTGAACATAACGGTAACTTTCAGGGATGTGGACAAGTCATACTCAACTAATTTCTGGAGGTTTCTGAGGATGGATTAGATTTCAGCTCTTAAATTGAGCACCGGATTTAAAGTAACTCTCCAGACTATTAGAACATCAGTTAGAACCATATGCCACCCAGTGCTTCATATCCCTACCATCATGGTTGATCTATGCGACTGCTTAGTTATGGTTAAACATGGTGAAGATAGTTCAATGGAGACTAACAAATCAAGGACATGGTTTTCATCTTTTATAGATCAATTAACTTCAATCATTTTTGGTCAGGAATAGTCACCTTGAAAATGTCAACCCTAATTCTGAGTTTCATCATCATTAATTCAGAAAGTTCTTCTCCAAGTAAAGACACAAGGAATATATATGGCATAAAACCTCCAAGCTTCGAATCTCTTCTAAATAGTTTCGTAATGTTATTTGCTCAACACATCACAACTTATTAATTTCACTGTTACCATCAAAATAAAATTTACTGGAATAAAACTGGTATCTCTATGTGGTTACCAGCTCCTTTGCAACCCGGTCATTCTAATGCAAGCTGGCTTGATGTTTCTCTCCATAACTCCTTTCTCTCTTTTTAAGGTAGTAACATCACCATTCCTGGATCCCTGAGCTCTGCCTTACTCTCTCTCCTGTCTTCAGGTACTGGAGTCCAAAACTGCAGATGGCAATACACAGAAGGCTGCAAAGAGCTCCCCATCATCTGTGTGTCCCCAAGGACACCGTGAACAAAACAGGGTAAATCTGGCTGGCTGTAAAATGGAAGAATTTGAGGCTTCAACTGAAATCTCTGAATTCTTTTGTTCATAGTAATATTAATCTACCATTTATTGGGTGCTAGCCCTTGGAGAGAGAGCTTAAATGCATTACCTCATTTACTTCTCATAATATCCTCCTGTCCCTCTCTAATCACCACCCCAGAGCCCTGAGGAGTCTCAATTTCCTTGTGGTGGGGTTCTAAAGAACAGATCAAAAAAAAAAAAAGGAGGCTCGTGAAAGACAATCATGTGTCCAGATAAGGAAAGGGAGAGGAAGCTCAGTGAGGGGTGTTTAATGGCAGAGAGAAACTGTACATCTGGGGCACAGATGAAGAGAGTGCACCGGCTGGCCAGGCCTGACCTGCAGATGAGTCCTGTGGTCTGTGAAGCCCCGGATGGGGGGAGTGACAGCAGCAGCAGCAGCACAACTAGCTTTCTCTCCCTACGTGGGAGGACAGTGCAATGTCCACGCAGCCCAGGCACGCACCGGGGTTCTGCAGCCCAGGCACACACTCAGTTCATGTCTCTCCTGACGTGTCCGCTCAAATGATCTCCTTGCCTCTCCACTGAGGGAACTTGTGGAGAGCCTTGCAGGCTACATCTGCCAGGGACTAGTGAACTGTGAAGGACGAAGAATTCTTGCTGGAAAGACAGGCCCGGGAGTCTGGGGAGGTGCAGATCCCTTTGTGGTCAGCGGGTCAGAGATGTCAGACCTCCCCTCTTTTGAGGGAAGGAGCCATCCTCCTAACTGTGGGCTCTGCACACACATTAAAGAGTAGGAAAGTACTGGGCCTCTTAGTGCACCACTCTAGATTCTGGGCAAGACCTTGAAGACGTCAAGGTTGGATCTGAGTTCGGATCCTCTTAGCCTAGTGGCTGGGGTCACAGGTAATCATCTGACCAACAGAGACTCCAGACTTCCAGACAAATCATCTCCTCCTTCTAACAGCAGCCTCTGTCCTGGAGGCTGTGCTGACAGACAGTAAATATTTCCAATTCCCTATATCCTGAGAGTCCTCACCAGAGGGAGGGAAAAAGGGCCTGTCTCTTACTCACTGGTAGTAGAGAACCAGCAAAGTCCAATCCTCAGAGATCTCCAGCGTCTCTTAAATAAGCTTTGCCTTTCCATTTTCACCTTTTAATTATTTAGCATCCATCCATTTATTTATACAAATATATAATAGATTTATATAGATTTATATAATATAGACTCTTGTGAGGCAGAGTGGAGGACAGGGCCAGGGGAGTGGGCCCCCCACCCTGGCTATTTACAGACATACTGGTCAACGACCTCAGTGCACTTTTTGCACTTGACAAAGCAGCACCAGTGGAACTTGCAGTGGCAGCGCTCCACCTGGACACTCTTGAACTGGTCGTAGCCGCGGCCGCAGCACATGAGCTCGCAGCCGTCCATGCCCTCCGATGTCTTGTTGCAGAGGCGGCCCTGGGTGCCCAGAGAGCCTGTGGTCTCATTGCGCAGGCAGTAGTCAGGGCTGGGGTCCACATAGACCAGGTCCTCTGGTGTGGGCTGGTTGAAGCGGCTGTTGACCAGCTCCAGCTTGCCCTTGCGGGTGATGCGCATGGCAGCCGCGCTGTCATACTTCTCCTTTAGCTGGTCCCCCACCTTGCGGAATTCGGCCAGCTGGAGCCAGCAGGTCTTGAGGCTGCAGGACCCTGAGACACCATGGCATTTGCAGGCCACATCTGCCATCTTATACACAGCCTGAGGGGAGGAAAAAGAAGGGATAAGAAGGAGGATCCCTGATGGCAGAGGCCTATATGGGGGGCTACAGTGGCCACCGTGGGAAAGAGGACAGAAAGCTTGTCAGATGTGTGCACAGCCCCCTCTGAGACGCTCAGCTGCTCAGGCTGAAAGCAGATAAAGGAGCAGCACAGAGAAGGCGGCTGGAGAGGCCAATGTGCTCGCTCAGCTGCGAGGATGGCATTTGAGTCACTTTCACTGTCTACTATTCCTCAAAGTCTGTCACAATACATGTTAGCATTTTCGTAATCAGAAAGAAAGATATTTCAATCTTGATCAAGGCTTCAAACAAACAAATAAAAACTAACAGCAAGGTGGTGGGCCTACCTGCCAGGCAATTCATTCACCTGAAAACAAGTCTACCCTAGAAGTCACAGAACAGTAACAGTGTGGAGTAGAGTTGAACTTGGGCTCTCCCAAATCAAAATGGAAACAGAGTAGACCAGGAAGCTGCTCACAAAGTGCTTGTCAATGACAGCAACGGATACATTGTGGCAAAGAACCCTGGCAGCAGGCCCAGAAGTGCAGATGGCGGGATAAAAATGCAAGCCTGCTGCAGAATATTTTCTTATGCCACAGCTATTGTCACCAACTGAGTCAGGACTCCTTTTTCAAGGGTTTCTCTTAGATTTCTTTTCAAGAGCCCCTAGATTGTGTTTTTATTCAGCACTAAGCAGACTACTGCAGGTGCAAGAAATAATATAACCATCGTCAGCTCATACGGCTGTTGTCAAAATGCTTCCTGAGTTTTTTTCTGGGTATAGAATTATACCCACTATTTTATGGTAGAGAGATTGAAGCTCTACAGAGGCTCACTAACATTTAAGACCACCCAGAAGGGAGTCAGAATGACTATCATTTTTGTACATCTTGGGGCTTAAAAGTGGCTCAGGACAGGGAAGGAAGCAAGGCTCCTCCCCAAGGTTAAAGGCTCCAGCACTTGGCCTGGTAGGTCCAGGCCTGAGAAATAAAGGAACTGACACCCTATTCCAACAGGCACTTCAAAGACCGGACCTGCAATTACCCTTCTGGCCTAAATCCCCAAGTCTGAGCTGTAGCCTAACATTCCTCTGGAAATGGTCCTTAGTTTAGAGAGAGCTGGCAGGCGTCTGGCACTGCTGAAAGGGGCAAGCATTAAGGGTCAAAACCTGTGTACCTTGCTGCTTAGTGACTCAGGGCACAGGATAAGCAAACACTCAGAGAGATTTGGAGAAGGAGAGTCAGAGCAAGACTCCCTGGGGAAAAGACAAGAATTTTAGGAAAACAAAGCCAAGAGGAAGAGTGTCACTGTGCTTATTGTTCAGACACCCATTCCATCCTTCGTCTAATTTGAAGACATCGTAGAAAGAGTATTTTTTCATTGTTTACTATTGCTTCTATATATAAGCTCTTGGGAGGGGGGTTGGAATCCTAATTTTTGGCCCATCCTGCTGACTCAAAAAGCAACAAAATATGTTAAAAATTATTTTAGCTCTACATCTTATCCCCTGGCAAAGCCCTAAGTTTCTCTTCCACTTCTGTCTAATGGGGTGCTGGGCTTGGTGACTGACAGGAATGTCACTAGGATTAGGCACTAGGCTTTTATCTGGAAAATGCTTAGAAACCCTTGAGTGACAAAACAGTATCAACCTACTGGTCTTGCCATCAGTGTCTAAAAGGGAGCTGCTAAAGACTCTTAAAGACCAAGAGAAACTTCTAGCAAAGTATGCCCAAAGACTTACTCTGTGGACAGGATGTCAGATCTTAGATCATTTGTTTTTAAAACAAACAAAGAAAAAAAAAAAAACCAAAAAACCTGGGCCAGGCCTGGTGGCTCATGCCCATAATCCTAGCACTTTGGGAGGCTGGGAGGCCAAGGCTGGTGGATTGCTTGAGCTCAGGAATTTGAGACAAGCCTGAGTAAGAGCAAGATGTTGTCTCTACTAAAAATAGAAAAACCAGCCGGGCATTGTGGTGGGTGCCTATAGTCCCAGTTACTTCAGAAACTGAGGCAGGAGGATCACTTGAGCCCAAGAGTTTGATGTTGCTGTGAGCTATGACACCACAGCACTCTACCTAGGGCACAGAGTGAGACTCTATCTCAAAAAACCAAAAACCAAAACAAACAAAATAACATACCAAACAAACAAACAACCTGGTCCTTTAAAACATGGGCCCAAGGCATTTTCTATCTCTGCCACCATTCATTCCTTCCTAAAGAGCTTTTTGTGTAGGTGTGAGTATTTGCTCTGAGTACCTTTGGCTTGGATGGTGATTGATGGCCCAGGCCTGTTCCTTGGAGCAGGGATGGATAAAAAATAGAGGGACAGGAATGCCCAACTGTAGCAAACAGAGGCAAAGAGAAAGAGAGATAAAGGGCTGCAGAAGAGAGGAGGTGTGTGGAATGGGGGAGGGCAGACAGGCAGAGGAAGCAGGAAGGTGTGTGAGCAGGGACAAGGCAGATGGGAGGGGGGCTGCCAGATAAGGGCCCAACACAAACAAACAAACAATCAGGGGCCATAAAGCAAGGGGTCAGCAGGAAAGGGGTCAAGACTGAGGAGAAGAGGAAGAGCTTATGTCTGCTTCTCTCCCTCCAGGGTGTGATTAGGAGGCCTGCCTAGTCACAGGAGAAGCAGAGCCAGCAAGCACCTCGCCTCCCTGCATTTTGACCTCTCTTGGCAGCAAAATGGGTCTTCTCTCCATGATGCAGTGAGGATTGACCCAAAGAGGACCATCCCTGTCCTCAGGAGCCCACAGCCAACAAGGTAAAAGTAGGGTAAGAAAGAGCTCCAGGGAAGCATTGAATGCTCTACTCAAGTTCAGGTGCAAGAGGAACTACCACCAAGAAGGAATGGAGAAGAACTGAAGGAGTTGGTGGTATTTGAACGAGGATCTTAAATAATGGATAGAATTTAGGCATCCAAGAGATAAAGAGAAGATTTTCACTGATTCTGTCTGCTCCCCAGGGTTAGACACCCAAAGATTCAGGCAAATGGATTGCCTGATGGAGAGGAAACCTTGCAAGACAAGGGCAGCTCCACAGAAGCCCCCAGAGATGTCCTCCTAGATGCCTCTGGTCTCTCTGCTCTGGTTTACTCCATAATAACCACAGAGTAGAGCAAAGGCCAGAACTCCTAACATCTCCCTATGTGCACTCCTTTCTTATTGAGCAGAACTAGCCTCTGGATAGGGAATATGTAAGGAAGACACTGGGCAAGGAACCAATTCCAATTTCTACTTGCTGTCACAGACTGCTGGCTCTAAGTTCACAGGCATGCCATGTTCTACCAGGCCCATGTTATAAGCTCCTGACTCACACAAAAAGACATTTCTAATTTCATTTCTTTAATATGTGCTCCTAAAAAACGTTAGTTAGTGTTTTAAAATTTTGATATATAAAGACAATTTTGGAAATGTTCAAGGCTAGCATGATGGCTCACACCTGTAATCCTAGCACTCTGGGAGGCCGAGGCAAGTAGACTGCTTGAGTTCAGGAGTTGGAGAACAGCCTGAACAAGAGTGAGATCCCCATCTCTACTAAAAATAGAAAAACTAGCCAGGTTTGGTGGAACATGCCTGTAGTCCCAGGTATAGGGAAGCTGAGGCAAGAAGATTGCTCAAGCCCAACAGTTTAGGGGTGCCGTGAGCTGTGATACCATGGCACTCCATGTAGGGTGACAGAATGAAACTTTGTCTCAAAAAAAAAAAAAGAAAAAGAAAGTCATATATTATGTGAGACTTAAGGCTTGAGCCTAAAACCAATGGTTGCCTTTTCACACTTTAACTCATGTTTGAAAACTCCTAGCCTAGAAGTATGTTTGCCATTAGTATCTGAATGTGGTTTTTTGCTGGGTTTCCGGATATGTATGATACCAGTTCTTAAAAGTCAGATCTGGTTTTACATGTGTCTTTAAAGAAATCACAAACCCTAGGCTAAGTCTAATGGCAGAAACTTTGTCTTATTTGTTTTAGTTGCAAAGGGGAGTGTGTGTCAAGACAAGAACTCTAATCCAAGAGGCAACCAGGGCTCAGTGAGTAGGGCACCAGCTACATACACCCAGGCTGGTGGGAATGAACCCACCCCAGGCCAGCTAAACAACAACGACAACTCCAACTAAAAAAATAGCCAGGTGCTGTGGCAGACACCTGTAATTTCAGCTACTTGGGAGGCTGAGGCAAGAGAATCTCTTGAGCCCAAGAGTTTGAGGTTGCTGTGAGTTGTGATGCCACAGCACTCTACTGAGGGCGACATAGTGAGACTCTGTCTCAAAAAAACAAAACAAAACAAAAACCTCTAATCCACATGTCTGGAATTCTGACCTAAACATTGTACTTAAATCCCATAGGGATGATGTCCTGTTGAGTAATAAATAGTTTAAAAAGTGACAATCGGCTCGGCGCCTGTGGCTCAAGCGGCTAAGGCGCCAGCCACATACACCTAAGGTGGCAGGTTCGAATCCCCAGCCCGGGCCTGCCAAACAACAATGATGGCTGCAACCAAAAAATGGCCAGGCGTTGTGGCGGGCGCCTGTGGTCCCAGCTACTTGGGAGGCAGAGGCAGGAGACTCGCGTGAGCCCAGGAGTTGGAGGTTGCTGTGAGGCGTGATGCCATGGCACTCTACCCAGGGGGACAGCTTGAGGCTCCGTCTCAAAAAAAAAAAAAAGTGACTATGTCGGGTGGTGCCTGTGGCTCAGTGAGTAGGGTGCCAGCCCCATTTACCCAGGGTGGCAGGTTCAAACTTGGCCCTAGCTAAACTGCAACAAAAAAAATAGCCTGGTGTTGTGGCAGGCGCCTGTGGTCCCAGCTACTTAGGAGGCTGAGACAAGAGAATCATTTAAGCCCAAGAGCTAGCTGGAGGTTGCTGTGAATTGTGATATCAAGTCACTCTACCCAGGGTGACAAAATGAGAACTCTGTCTCTAAAAAAAAAAAAAAGTGACAATCATAAGGGGGAAATGGGGCATTTTCAATTGCTCAATAATGGGGACAACTAGGCAGCTAGATCAGCAACCCTCAGGTAAGAATCTTCAGGGTCTGACCAACTGGCTTCACTGATGGCCTACTGGTCTACACTGGGCAGGGAGGCCAGGGAGAGGGAAAGAGTAAGGGAAAGGAGGTTGAGAGGGAAGGAGTGTAGCGGGGAAGGAGGGGAAAGGGCAGGGGAAGAGAGAGGGATGGGAAGGGAGGAGGGGAAAGGCAGCAGAGCAGAAGCCCATCTTACCCTGCGACCGGCCTCATTGTTCTGCAGGTTCATGAGCACTCGGCCCTGCTCCTCCGATCCCTTGGCAAAGTTCTTCTCCCGTTCGCGGGCATCCACAAACTCCTTAGCAAAGCGGTAGCCGTACTCCACATTGTCCCCACAGCCACCCCACAGCCAGTCCCGGGGCAGGTCCTTGGGCCGGGCGGTGCGGCTGCAGCCGCAGGTGGACAGCTCGCCCTCGCGACAGGCCCGGCTGATGGCGTTGACCACACCCGCAGCACTCACGGCATAGGTGAAGGCCGTCTCCCGGCTGCCTGCAGGGGAGACCCAACAGGTAGGAGGGCGCCTCTCATTCCCTCTCTCCACCTCTTCCCGACTGACCGAGTCCCCAGGCTCTGCTGGGACCCTCCTGGAAGGACTTGCACTCCCACAGCTCAAACTTCATGAACAAAGGCTGAAATCTGCCTGGGTTTTTCCTGCCTCTGGCCCCTCATTTTTTTCCATGTGTGTATGTGTGTGTGTGTGAATATATATGCAGACAGAATAAAACTAATCCCTCCAAACCTGGCCTCCACTGATACCCAATGCAGAAAAGTCAACATGGCCTGCAGATTCCCACTAGAGATACCCCTCAACAGAGGAGGAATGGGCATTGAGAAACTTACAGAACATGTGAGACTAACAGGAGACTGAGGAAGAAATCATGGAATCAAGAGCAGGACTCTGATCCTAGCACCCCCCCACACACACACACACAGATGCCATTTTGTGCCACTCTATGAGCTACACATTTGTCCTTTTTGCTGCTGCCAGTATCTGGCTAGATAATGCAAAGACCAAGCATTGAAGGTGAACTAGAATTTATATAATGTCCAGAAAATTCCAAGCTGTCTCTGTCTTTCCCAGAAGATTCACTGCCTCCTAACTCAAGAGCACTGGAGAGCCGGCAGTTCAAATCTATGGTACCTGCAATTTCAGATACAGAACAGTTCCTCTAAATATCCAGATCATTTTCCAGTAGAAAATCCCAACTGTGTTCCTCTTTATTGCCACAGTGAACCACTCACAAACTCATATGACATATGTTCTACTTCAATAAAAATGTCCATAAACAATATTCAGCTATTGGGGAAATGCAAACCTAACTAAAATCACAAGAAAATACCATTTCACATCTACTAAGATGGCTATAATCACAAACACAGGTAATGGCCAGGCGTGGTGGTCCACATTTGTAATATCAGCTACTTGGGAGTCTAAGGAGGAAGGATTACTTGAGGCCAGGAGTTCAAGATATGGGCAAGATATGACAAAGACTCCCATCCCTCCAAAATGTTTTTAAAAATTGCCATGATGGTGGCACACACTTGAGGTGCGTGGATTTTTAGAGCCCAGGAGTTAGAAGCTATAGTGAGCTATGATCATGCCACTTTCTAAAAAAAAGGTAATAACAAGTTGGTGAAGATACAGAAAATTGAGAACATTTTGGTAGAAATTTTTTTTTTTTTTGAGACAGAGTCTCACTATGTCACCCTAGGTAGAATGCTGTGGTGTCACAGCTCATAACAACCTCAATCTCTTGGGCTTAGGTGATTCTCTTTCCTCAGCCCCCCAAGTAGCTGGGACTGCAGGCAACCACCACAATGCCTGGCTATTTTTTGTTTGGAGTTGTCATTGTTATTTAGCTGGCCTGGGCCAGGCTCGAACCAGACAGTCTCAGTGCATGTGGCTGGTGCTGTAACCACTGTGCTACGGGCGCTGAGCCTGTATTTATTTTTTACCAATTGGAGGTTTGTGGCAGTTCTGTGAGGAGCATGTCTACCAGTGCCATTTTTCCAACAGCACACGCTAACTTCATGTCTCTCTGTCACCATTTTTTAGCAATAAAGTTTTTTGTTGGCTCAGCGCCTGTGGCTCAAGTGGCTAAGGCTCCAGCCACATACACCTAAGGTGGCAGGTTTGAATCCAGCCCAGGCCTGCCAAACAATAATGACGGCTGCAACCAAAAAAATAGCTGGGCATTGAGGCGGGCAGAGGCAGGAGACTCACTTGAGCCCAGGAGTTAGAGGTTGCTGTGAGCTGTGATGTCACAGCACTCTACCCAGGAGAATAGCTTGAGGCTCTGTCTCAAAAAAAAAAAAAGTTTTTTGTTGTTGTTGATTTTTTGCAGTTTTTGGCTAGGGCTGGGTTTGAACCTGCTACCTCTGGTATCTGGGGCTAGCGCCCCACTCCTTTGAGCCACAGGAGCTGTCCCAGCAATAAAGTATTTTTAATTAAGATATGTTGGGTGGTGCCTGTGACTCAGTGAGTAGGGCATCAGCCCTATATACCAAGGGTGGTGGGATCAAACCCAGCCCCGACCAAACTGCAACAATAACAACAACAACAAAAATTAAGGTATGCATATCATTTTTAAAATATAATGCTATTGAACACTTTATAGACTATAGTATAATGTAAACATAACTTTTCTATGCACTGGGAAACCAAAAAAACTCATGTGACTTGTTTTATTGTATTCAATATTCGCTTTGTTGCAGCAGTCTGGAACCAAACCCACAATACCTCTGAAATGTGCCTGTTTACATACTTAAGAGAAATAAAAACATATGTCTACACAAAAACTTGCACATGAATGCTCATTGTAGCATTATTCATAATAGCCCCAATGCAGAAACAACCCAATTGCCCATCAATGGATAGATGGATAAATAAGATGTGGTATTATTCATACAATGGAATATTATTCAGCCACACACATACAAGAAGTACTGATATATGCTATGACACGGATGAACCTTTATAGCTATGCTAAGTATAAGAATCTAGTGACCAAAGGCCACATATTGTATGATCTCATTTATATGAAATGTCAATATAGGCAAATCCATAGAAACAGAAAGATTAGCAGTTGCCTAGGGTTGGGGGTTGGGGTTTGGGGGATGAGGTGAGACAGTTAATGGGTGTGTCTTTCTCTATGGGGTGATGAAAATATTCTGGAATTAAATAGTGGTGATGGCTGTACCACCCTGTGAATATACTAAAAGCCATTGAATTAAATACTTCAAAATGGTGAATGGTATGTGAATTATATATCTCAAAAAAAAGCTGCTATAAGAAAAATAGACAATACTCATAAGGACTCAGATTTGGAAGGAAGAGAGTGGTCCTTGGCAGGAAATAGATTCAATCCTGATCTCAGAGATCAAACCAGGCAGAACCTTCTGCCCTCTGATTTCCTTCTCTCCTGAGTTTCCTGGTTAGAAGCAGACACCCCACATCCTGTCTTGGCAGGTGGACAGGGAAGCAGTCTGCAGTCCATTAATAGGTCCATAGTGACCTCCCACTTTGCCCTGCTTCTTGATTGTCTAGGTGCAACACAGGGAGATTTGCAACAGAACACCCCCCTGGGTGAGTCAGTTTTTCTCAATTAACCAGTGGTGGACTTCTGGTCTGTTGTAAAACAGGAAGAGCCCAAGAAAAACCTGAAAGACTGCAAGAAGTTACACTGGTGATTCTGCTATCAGGATAGACATTTGTGTCAGTATGGAACCACAACCAGAGTTGAGGGTCTAGCTAGGGGAATGAGGCTGTGACAGCATCTGAGATAATAAGACAACCAAAGAGGCCTTCGGGGAGGAGGGTCTGGGCCGCACTTAGAGGAAGTAATTTTTCTAAAATGTACCCTCAACCCCCTTACACATCATCTGGGAAGTGGAAAGGGCCTGGGAGTGCAAGCCCAGGGCTATACTGCATCCCCTGGGAGCATTTCTTTCACAGCATGTCTCAGAGAAAGGGGCTAGGGTTTCAAGGTAACCCATTCCATCTTTTTGAAACAACTCTCATCACCACAATGTTCTCTCTTGTACTAAGCTGAAATCTGCCTTCCTATAGCTCCCGCCTGCTGCAGGTACCCTGTCTAATCCCTGTTCCATTTGATAGTTCTTCAGTATTTGAAAACAACTAAGAAACCTTTTACATTTTCTCCTTTCTCACCTATATATGTCTAATGTCTTTCCACCATTTTATAGCAAATATGCTTTTCAGAGGTGAAGCAGCCTTCTCAGAATTGCCTTTTAAAGTAATGTACCTGCAGCTAAACATAATACACCAGACACTGTATACTTTGGTTTAAGACCCAGATTTGTCCCCAGGCGCACTAGCTCTCTTAGAGTCATTCTGCCTGCTCTTCTGGTCATCTGGACCCATGGGTGAGCTTAGTGAGTGCACACTACCACTGCTACACTCCATAAGGAAGAGATAAGTTATGCTTCACAATGAGTAAGTAGTGAGGGGCTAACCTACAAGTCCAATGGTCCAGAGTGGACACTCAAACCATCTCAAGAATAAAAGGCTAATAAACCAGCAGCTATGGAGCTACTAGAGAGACTTGTGTCTCCACCCTGTAAGGAGACAGCAGAATGATACCATGCTTTCTCTGTTCTACAGTAGCTCAACCACCAGGAAGGTGCCTCCCTGCTCCCTAGGCTGAGGCTGGGTGAGCACCAAGGTTTCTCCAAACTGCTCTGCCGCCCTCTAGTGACGGACTTTTGCAGCAGCTTCAAAGAAGAACAGAGATAAGGCAGCTGGGTGTAGGAGCTCACTGTGTAATCCCTGCACTCTGGGAGGCCTAAGTGGAAGGATCCTTGAGCTCAGGAGTCCCAGAACAGCCTGAGCAAGAACTAAAAATAGAAAATTAGCTATGTACTTGTAGTCTTAGCTACTCCGGAGGCTGAGGCTGGAGCCCAGGTGTTTGAGGTTGCTGTGAGCTGGGCTGATCCCACTACACTGTAGCCATGGGGACAAAGCAAGACTCTCAACACTCTGTGTCCAAAAACAAACAAACAAACAAAACAAACAAAAAAAAACTGTAAGTGGACTTTCAAAAGAAGTAAGAGGACTTTCGAAGGCAGAAATGAGAATAGCTGCCCCAGTTCGAGCCCTCAGGGACGCTACCCAAAGGAACAGGGAAAATTAGGCAAACATTACAGCTCTATTTTGGAGCAGAATGGGGCACAGAGAGACCTGCTCTCCTCTTTCTTTGATGAGGTCTCTTTCGATGAGTCATGTCACCATGCAAATCTGAATCCAGTGGAGCTTCTATTCCTGCCAACCCTTTCTTTCCTCACTTTTTGGCCTTTACTCACAAAAAAATAACACATGAAAAGGATCTAGCCAATGTCAGGTACACATCGGGCCCTCAGTAAATAGAAGAGCCCACGGAGTGATTAGAGCACACCTTTCTCTCCACCTGGGTCGTTCAAAACCCAGGGCAGCGAGTGCTGTTCACTCAGATTTTCTCTAGGACGAAGGGACAAATACCGAGTGCATTTGAGAGGAATCAATACATTGTGAATAAATCCTGGGAAGCCCCCAAGTCCACTCCTCTGGAAAGGTGCCTTGTAACGCCGCCAGAGGAACACATAAGCATTTCTTCTCTGTACCTTGTGCTGATACCGGAGGAAGCAAGAGAGCATCAAGGTTCAAAGTGCTCTTCCTCCCAAGCTTTACTTCTCAACACGGGCAGCGTGGGTGGGGAAAGAGGTCTAGAATACATAGGAAGGGGAGAAGGGAGCAGCCCTATTTCTCTAACTCTCCTACTCCACTGCCAGGCTAAAAGAATTCTCTGGGAAAACCCCAGGCTCAGGTAACTCTAGCAAGTGGCCTTTCTGAGGGGAACTGTTCTGATAGAATGTGAGACAGGACCAATCCAGAGTTCTAACACCTTCCTTTTATGGCCCTGGGGACAAGACCCAGTAGAATAGAGCCGGATTTCTCAATTTCTTGCCAGAGAGGGGAGGATTGCATTTCAAAAGGACCTAAAACAATTAGACCTCAGATCACACCTCCATCTAAGCAATAGGGCAGCCAAAGAATCCCAGGCCAGCATGGGAGAGGGGAAGGGACAGGAATCCAGGAAGATGGGCCCTCTCCCTCTCATCTTTGTCTTTATCTGACCCCTTCCCCCACTTTCACATACATCCCCTTTCAAATGAAAAAGCCAGCACTGGATCTGGGTCAGGTTATTAACAGCTATCACCAGTGTGGCCCAAGATTTCCATCTCTCTTTCAAGGGTCTGACTGAAAGAGGCAAAAATCCTACAGACATTTAGGCCTGCAATCTTTAGTTCTCTACCCTAGACTCTTAAAACACAGCAAAAGAAAATCAAACCTAAATCAACAACAAAAATGAACAGGAGGCCCTGGTTGCACAGAGAGACAAAGTGGTGGGCGGGTCTCCTAATCCTCTCTAACTCAACTCAGATGTTCTGCCCTTGCCAGAAAGAGTCACAAACAGCCTGCCGTAGGGTGAAACTGGGGGAGCACCCCCCCTGGGCTTCCTGTGTGGATTTCGGTCTTCGCACACCACTGCCAAGGAGGCCAAGCAAGATGAGTGCAGTTCCTTCAGCCAAGCCCTACTACAGTGCCCCTTACCTATCTGCATGACTCTGCCAAAGACAGATGTGTTGTCCACGGTGCTGCAGTTCCACCGTCGCTGCCGGAACTGGTACTGGCACTCCTTGATGCCCGTCTTGGCCCCCTCCCCTATGTAGGCCATGTGTTCCTGGTACAACTGGCATAGCTTTCTCTGGCCAGGGGAGAGCCCAGGAAGCTGACTGCACACAGGCTGGGCACCGATGATAAACATCTCGGGTCTCTGCACCGGGTTCATAGCTAGTGACCTATGGGACAGCAATCCAGAAAGGGAGGGAAGAGGCCAAGTGTGAGTGTAGGCCTGTGTACAGCAGGACATCATCTGTCTAACACATGTACTGAACACTTTCCTGGGCACAAGGCCCTGGACCAAAGGTCTGGAAAGGAAAATTAGTAAAACAGAGTAACTGAAGGACACGGAGGCATGACCACAAATGACATATGAGACGCCACGTGCCTGGGGCAGACTGGAGCTTCTGGATCCATGGTGATGAGACAGGGAGCTCTTCCAGCTGAGGAGAAGCCTTTATAAGGAAATGGCCAGAATTTGAACTTGGTCTTAAGGATGGGGGCAGGCAAAGGAGATGGAGCAGGGGAGGGGGGCAAAGAGAGCCAAAGCTCAGCAGGAGGGCACTGTCTTACTCAAGCAGTGGGAGATTAATTCAGTTTAGCCCAAGTACAGGACATGTGCTGGAGAGCACTCAGTCCCTTTCAGAGGAACTCCCCTCAAGCCTTAAAATAGGATCCAGTTTACACCTATCACAATATCATCTGCATGTTTCTACTTCCTGTCTCCCCAACCCCACTCTTCATCTGCTTGGGAATCTCCTTTTTGCTCATCACCTACCAGCCACATTCAGTGTTAAGTTAGATGAGAAGGCTGTGTAAAAATGTGCGCAGAGGACAGTCCAGGTGGTGACTGCCTGCCATTGCCATTGACTTAGCAATAATAATTTAAAGATACAAGAAAAGACACAATTTAAAGACACAAGAAAAAAGCCATACATGGTCCTGGGAATCCCTCACTTGGTCTTCAGGCTTATAATATAGAAACTCTACTCTCCCTTCCCCTGTCAGGAACAAATGGAAAAAAAAAAAACAAACACAAAAACCAACCTGCCAGGTATCAATATTCTTGTTGACCCCAAAGCAACAATTCATGGGGATAGAGAAAGGTCCAGGGAAAAGGGAATGTGGACAGAATCAGAAAAAACCAACAAACAACTGAGCTGATCCTTTATCCTCCCTCGGGAACCCTTACCTATGGGGGCTGGAGAGACAGAGCTGTCCTAGTTTTCCTGGGATTAAAGAGGTCCTTAGCATACCTATGACTGGAGACCTGATCGTGACACATGGTGCCCTTTCTCCTCATCTCAATTATGAAGGAAGCCTTAAGCTGTGGAAGCAGGACTTGAGCCCCCTCACTCACCACCAGGAGTTGGCATCTGTCAGAAGCTGAGCCCAGCTGGAGAGCAGAGCAGCAGTGAACAGCAGCAGCAGGCTGGGCATGGTTGGCCTCAGCCCTCCCCAGTGCCCTGGGACTGGCAGCTTCCAGAACGGGGCTCCCTGGAGACAACAGAAGAGAAGGGAGGATCAGTGTGGAAATGCGGCAGATAAGGGAGACCCGGAGAGAGGGGCGGGGAGCACAGGAGGCGCTCTGGGGTGGACCTAGAGTCAAGTTCTGCTGCCCCTAGGAAATTCCACCTCTTTCCAGCCTCCATCCCCAACTGCTCATCTTCTCACCCTGGGACTTTTATGTCTCCCATCCCAACTGTAGGAACCCTATGAAGGACCTAGTCTCCCAAGAAGCAATGAGCCGAGAAAACAGAAAAGAGGAATGAAAAATCATCTCAAGAAGAGAGTACCGTGTGCGGCACCTGGGAGGCCGGCTTGGCTGTTGCACAGCCCACCCGCCGTTTCTGCAGAACACCCAGGGAAATGAGGGTCAGCCCACACACTCCTCCCCTTTGACCACTCACTCCAGCCCAGTGACTTATTTCTCCCCCTTGCTGAGGTTAAAGTAAAATTGGTGAGTTAGATTTACCCACACCCAGAGGCACTTCCCCTCTCAGTCTGTACCTTTCTCACCCTAAACGAGCTATGCAGATCCCAACCTTTGTTTGCAGAGCTGGACTTTTCACTTTCCTAAGTCGCCTTCTCTGAGAAATGCAAAAGCCACACAGAGAAACCTCCACCAGGAAAAAGGTGGCTGAGGCGCTGTCTTCCTGGGTGGCCCTCGAGGGGCGGCACTGGACACCTTGCCTAGCGCAGCACTAGTTAGCGCCCAGGCGGCATCTCTTGCACTAAATGTCTGGGTCGAGGACACATCTTCCAGAAGCCACCATCCTTTCCTGGTAGCTCCAGAGGCTTTTGTCACCAACGCCTGCGTCTATATCCCCAAAGAACACCTTCCCCTGAGCCCTTCCAAAGTACGGAAAATCCATGCTCTGGATTCCAACGCGGGTCTACAAAACACGCCCCCTCGACTTACCCCCACCTTGACTCACCACCCTTCTCCCTTAGCCCTCATCTGGGCGTGACCCCACACGCCCCGAGAGGCCTCCTCCGGGACCCCTGAGCACCTGCCGCCCCGCTCGCCCGCCCGGCTCACCGCGCTGCTCCCGCGCTACGGGCTCTGCGAGCTCTCCGGGAGGGGGCGGCAGGGGCTTTGGGTTATCAGCCTAGGTAATATTTTTGTCCTGGGGCCACCAAGAGAAGAAGGTGGCCAGAGTAGATCCTGGAAAATGGGGACACGGCCTTTCCCCCACCCTCTTTTGCGTTCTTCTCGAGGTCTGGCCGGGGAGGGAGCACCAACGGGCAGGTGCGCGGGGAGGGCAGGGGGCAGATCAAAGAAGAAACTTGCTCCTTCCCCTTTGTCATGCAGAGCCAGCTCGGAAATGATCCGGCTTCCAGCCCGCCCGGCTAACTGCTCCCCACACCCGGCGCTCCTCTCAGACCTCTGCTCCTCTGAAGGATGCCCCCGCCCACCCCCACCCCCCATAAATCCTCCCGTCCCTCAGGGCAGGCGGTCTGTGAATGCACTGGCTGGAACCGAGAGAGATGGAGCAGAGATAGGGCTGGCACCAGAAGCTAATGGCTTTATAGAGGGGAGGGGACCAGGTCCCGAGGAGGGAGGACGAGAGAAAAGCTTCAAAGCGTTTCCTTGTCCAAACATCCTCAACACCACCTACGCGCCCTGCCCCAGGCCGAGGAGTCAGGGCTGCCCGGTGCCCTCCTGCTGCCCATCGTCTTTCCTCCCTGCACCCTGCCGCCCACCTCATGCCTTTCTCCTCTGCCCCGTGCCTGCCAACACCTCCTCCGGGCCACATCTATCCTCTCACGTTCCCGCCACCCGACAGCGGAGTACTTCCTCCCAGGAAGGCACCTCTTGTCCCTGCGATCCGCTTCACGTCTGCCACAGCCTTCTATCAGGCTCCGGTGAGGTCTCTCTGGCCCTGCAGTACCCAGGTTTAACCCAGGCCACCTTGGGGGCCCCCATATCTGAGCTAGGGACAGGAGTCAGTGCCTGCTAAAGGTCACCGTTGCTTTGACTGCCCCAGTGACAGGCTGCCAGGCCAGAGAAGTGCAGACTGCCCAAGAGCTGCTAATCCCACCCTTTGGTACCTTATAAACATACACGGTGACAGGAATCACTCTCAGCGCTGTTCCCACCACCCTGTATCTTCCATCAAACTCTCAGCCCATTAAAAAATGTATTTTAGAAATTACCAAAAAAGGAGGAGGCCTTTAGCATGCCTGGTGGCTTCTCTCTTTGCCTCCTAGATGTATGGAACTAAAACCCCCAACTGCACACACCAAGCCCCTGAGGACGCTCTCTGTCCTGGCAGGCAGATGCGAGCCCTCCTGTGTGCACACGAAACTGAACCCTCTTGTGTGGGGGTGGGAGGAGAAAGGACCCCTTAGAAAGGTGGTGACCGGTTTCTTTATTTTGGACAGAATGGAAGTTTTTGCCTCAGCCCAACAGGGAAGGCTGGAAGTTGTGTGGGACTGATGGTTTGGTCTTAATGAGCAAATCCACTACAGTGGATCACCGGTGAGATTTACAGCAGGAGTCCACCAGAGGAGGCTCTCCCTGTGTAGGTGGGAAGACCTGCTAAATACCCCAAAGGCAGGGAAAATGAGTTCCTTCTGCTGCCTTTGTGACAACTACAGATTTCCCCCAAAGACCTAGAATCTTTCCCTTCCTAAGGGGCAAGTATCATTCCCAACACACCAAACAGTCCTTAAGTCTGTGAGAATCAGGGTTTCTATTCTTTAGCCTGGGGCGGGGTGGGGGGAATTGCAAAATCCCAGAGGGCTGGAAGGAGCTGGTCAGATGTCTGCTCTGCTCTGCTTTGTTCATTCATTCATTCAATAAATTCGTTAAGCCTAATATGTGTCGGTTACTGCTCTAAGTGCTGAAGATACAGCAATGAACAAACAAATACATAATATGTTAGGTACAGTATATACTATGAGGAAAAACGAAGAGGGGGAAAGAATCCAGAGTGATCAGGGACATGAGTTTACATGATGTAGGGTCCTTGGGAAAGCTACTCTCTGAAACATCTGCCACCTCCTCCAGACCTCTGTGTAGATGGAATGGCAGCAGGGTCTAACTCTGCCACATATCCAAGATCCCGCTGCGGCTTCCCCAAGGTCCCTCGCTGAGACTGCACAGCTGCCCTTTATCATTGCAACCACATGGGCACATATTTAAAAACAGGAAGTCCAGGTTCTTTTCCTTTTTCTGATAGGATTTAGTCACCCATTTTCATTCTCTTAAAGACCATGGCCATCCAGCCCAGAATTAAAAGATCAAAGAGAGTGGCCCTGGCAAGTACAACTGAGACCCCAAGCAACCTCTGTGCTTTCCATACACTTCAGAGGAGCTCCGACAATGAACTCCTCACCCCTCAACGAACAAGGGGTTGATTTCACGTCATTGGCCATTTAACAAAACCATCTCTGGATGTGTGGGACTGACTTTCCCTAGAGTCTAAGGACTCAAGTAACTCAAGAGTTGCACAGGTATGGTGTCACCTCCCATACCTGCCCCCTTTCTCCAGACAGATACCCTCTTACCTAGAAACCTACCCAGAAATAACCAAGAGCCTAGAAGGGGAGCCTCTGCAAGGTTGACACTGGCTAACCACTCACTACTCTATGACCCAGTGGGAACTACCGTGTTTCCCTGAAAATAAGACACTGTCTTATATTTATTTTTTCTCAAGAAGACACAGTAGGGCTTATTTTCAGGGGATGTCTTATTTTTATTAAGTATAATACAACAATCTACATTTATTCAAATACAGTTAAGTCATCTTCTTCTGGAACCTGACGGCAGAGCCGACCTTGTTGGTGGGGCTGGTGCTAGTGATGCGTGAACTCCTTTCCCCTAGCTGTTCTCATGTGCGCAATAGGATGCCTGCCACCGCAATTACCACACGTGCACCAGCGCAAGTGCAAAGGGCTTAGAGAAAGGAGCTGTGGCAGATAAAAGGCATTCCGTCTTCCTTACTGCTCGGTGTGGAAATACAGCCATGCCATTAAGATATGCTGCATAGCCATGCCCATCAGTAGGTCTTATAATCAGGGTAGGGCTTATATTTAACAAAGGATGCCTAGAAATCCTGCTAGGGCTTATTTTTTGGGTAGGTCTTATTTTGGGGGAATCACAGTAGTAATGTGTAATTTAAAAATACATTGGCAGGCTTGGCGCCTGTAGCTCAGTGAGCAGGGCACCTGCCACATACACTGAGGCTGGTGAGTTCAAGCCTGGCCTGGGCCTGCTAAACAATGACAACAGCAACCAAAAAATAGCCTGCCGTTGTGACGGGCACTTGTAGTCCCAGTTACTTGGGAGGCTGAAGTAAGAGAATCGCTTGAGCCCAAGAGTTTGAGGTTGCTGTGAGCCGTGACGCCATGGCACTGTACAAAGGGTGACAGAGTGAGACTCTGTCTTTAAAAAAAAATGCGTTTGCAATTATTTTAATATTCCTGGCATAGCAAGGTAGACAATTTTAGCAATCTTAGGAAAAGCAGGCTTCCCTTAGTCAACTCCTGGCTGCATTGCTGCTGAAGTGTCTGCCAGTTAGTAGATGATTTCCGTGGAATTGAGGGGACAAGTGGAGGGAACAGAGGTTGCTAGCTGGAGTTCTGTGCCTTGTCTCTGTTTAGCCCCTTCTTTTGCCCCAAAGTGGAGAATGACTCTTTATGGATCTCAAAATACTTGATAAATACCTCCTGAGGGAGGTACATGAGGGTCTTTCTCCACTTCCAAGTAAGTGCTCTCACTCTTACACATCAACACCAGAGCAGTTTTTCCTGGTCTAACTAAAAACTGTGAATAGCTATGATACCAGTTTTCCTATAATACCAGTTTTTGTTTTTTTTAGGTAGGGTCTTACTCTTTCACCCTGGGTAGAGTGTCATGGCCTCATTACAGCTCACAGCAACCTCAAATTGGGCTCAAGTAATCCTCCTGGCTCAGCCTCCCCAGTAGCTGGGACTAGAGGCATATACCACCATGCCAGGCTAGTTTTTCTATTTTTAGTAGAGACAGGGGTCTTGCTCTTCTCAGGCTGGTCTCTATCTCCTGAGCTCAAGTAATATACCCATCTTGGCCTCCCGGAGAGCTTGGATTACAGGCATGAGCTACCATACCTGGCCTAAAATACTAATTTTAAATCATAATATTCCCCTAGGTTGGAAACTTACAGTTTAAACTTCCCGGTTTTAAATTTCCTGAATTTCCTAGCATGAGATTTCTTTTTCCAGTCTCTTCCTACTCCTTGAACAGCCCCATTTCCCCCTCCCCCAAGACCTTCTTCTGATCCTCAGAGCATTTTCCCCTGCTCTCCAGCTAGCCAAATCAGAAACAATTTTCAAGTTCATGCTCAAGATTCCTCCATGAAACTGTCCCTTGATTAACCCAAACTCAAGAAAATCCTTCCTTAGCTAAATTTAAGTAACTTGTTCATACTTCCTGAGCTGAATGGCTGACATGGGTTTGGAATCCAGGTCTTTCTATACTTCCCCAAGCACAGGTCCTCCCTGTCACTGAGTGCAAAGCCTTCCCTGCTTTGCTTTGCTTCTTTTCACCATTGCCCTGTTGGTAAGGCTGTGCCTAGACAGAGAAGAACATCCAATATACAGGAGGGTAGCACCAAAAGCAAGGTTTAGAAAAAATGCAAAGTTACTAGTATAACACACACACACACACACACACACACGAGTCTGGCTGGGGACAAGACTTCTCCTCCACCTAAAAAAATGACATATGGGTTGAAAATAGAACAGGTTTAGCAACCCATGCATGGATTAATAAACTGTAGTGTATGTATACCATAGAATACTATTCGGCAATAAAAAGATGGAGACCCTGCATCTTTTGAATTTGCCTAGATGCAGCTGGAGAACATTCCCCTAAGTAAAGTATCTCAAAAATGAAAAAGCAGGGGCCCGGCATGGTGGCTCATGCCTGTAATCCCTGCACTCTGGGAGGCCGAGGTGGGAGGATTGCTTGAACTCAGGAGTTCAAGACCTGCCTGAGTTAGAGTGAGACTCCATCTCCAAAAAATAGCTGGGTGTTGTAGAGGGTGCTTCTAGTCCCAGCAACTTGGGAGGCTGAGGCAAGAGAATCACTTAAACCCAAGAGTTTGAGGTTGCTGTGAGCTGTGACACCATAGCACTACTCTACCCCAAGGCAACTGAGTGAGACTCTGTC